GCATGCAAAAAAATCACTCTCAATGTTGCACAGCTGAAAAAAAATCTGCATGAAGGAGTGGAAAAAAAATACTCCTATTTGATATCAGAAACTAGTAGACGGGTTATAAGAATTGTCTATTTGAAGTTGTTTCTGCTAAAGGGCGAACTTTTTTCTATGGAAGGAAATGGCATATCTGTTAATTTTATGTTAAATAGACAATTTTTTATACTGTAGGTTTTTGTTCAGTTACATCACCTTTATACATACTGCTTTAATGAAAATAAAATGTTGATGTGTCTACATTAGTTAAAAAAGAAAAAAGGATTTTATATTGGTATACTTGTTCACATGACTATAAAAGACTCTCATTCACCCTATCTCTCCAAGGGGAGATAGCAAGTAAAGCGGAAGGACGGAGCCAAGGGGATCACTGGGATATCATTTGAAGAGCTTATTATTAGGGGCAGACTAAAATGGTAAAATAGTGAATCTCTGGCCCAAATTCATCAGGGTCGAGGTTCAACCTGATAGACTATGTAGGACAGACAGAGAGAAAGCTAACCACCATATTGCAAGAACACAAGCGAGCAGTCAGATAAGGAGATCTAAACTCATTAGTAGTCTCACATTGCAATGAACAAGGACATATATTCAATTTTGCAGCTACTAAGATTGTTGGCCAAGCAGGTACAAAAATAGCCAGGGAAATGATTGAAGCCTGGGAAACAGCCCCTGGACAATCAACAGAAGTATTGATTTACCACCAGCTTATCAGGTATTAGGAGTCGAGGACTTGACAGCACAAGGAAACAACAGTCAACGATTTAATAGCCAGCCATCAACATCCCTATCAACAACTAAAAAGCCACATGCAATCAGGCACCACATAAATACTACACATAGAAATAGCCCAAGGCACACATTCTGGGAGAGAGAAGTTCCCTGATGATTGGCTCCAGCACGAGTCCAAAAGCTGGGAAGACTAAACCTCCAATCCCTGTGACCAACCCAGATTGGATCAACCTGATAATACCTAACTGTTCTAGAAAGATGAAAGTGCTGTCTTGATCTTGTTAGATGAGGCAGTCATAGCTTGACTTTAAACTTGAATGTTATTCCAAACTCATTTTCATGTCAGAGTTTCATGAGACTAATTTCTCTTTCTCCTAATAAGGAGTATTTGTTCTCTAATATATTCAATTTAGCATTTACAAAAGTGCTGACAAAAATCCATTATAGTTTAATAAATAATATACATGAATAATGACCGTAATGTTCAAGTTTTATTTGGTTTTAGATTAATTTGCATTTGATTTTTTTTCTTTGAATAAGATTTTAATAAGCATTTATAACTGCAGTTGTTTGTACATTTAGCTGGGGGAAAAGCTGCAATGGATCTTAAAGAATTAATGAATATTTTAATCTATTTACTATTTTAAAAATAATAATAAAGCCCAAGCTGGGAATAAATATCCTTTTGATTGCCCTGTTGCTCTTGTCTCATTTTAATATTATGAATAGCTAAAGGTGGGGACATAATTACTGATTATTACTGCAGAGAAATAGTTCTGCTTTTATTCTACTTATAGACATATCGCTATTAACAGATACCTAATATTTTGTGGGTTTCTTATTGTTTTTTATGCTTTCCTCTTCAGTTACACTAAGTTTTAATAATTTTTAAGAACCAAAATATTTTAGGAGAAGAGGAGAAAGAAGAATATGTTGTAGACATAAACAAGAATTTTTATGGTTTCCATCTATTAGCATACTGTAAAATTATTCGGCTTATTCATTATGAAATCCCATTTGTGGGCTATACAATGGGCATAGATATACTAGCAATAAATGAACTGATGACTCTATTGAAGTTATATAATGAATGGAGGTTTTATAACCGGGATGGCTGTTGTACTGCACTGCCCTCTTAATTGCAATATACAATTAGCAATTGAAACTGGCATTGCATATTGTGTGATGCATTAATTCATGATGGTACACATTTTAATGGCTCTGACGCAATAGTGGCCTGGAAAGTAGAAAGTGAATTTCCTCTAGTGTTACAATTTGAACTTGTGTATGCAACAGACTCTTCACACCTCCAGCCTTTGGTTTCAGCTGGATGTTGAAGTCAAAGTCTGATCTCTGGGTAGTCATAAGGAACCTTTAAATAAGTATCTAGAGAGGAATAGGTGGTAAGGCAAGTGAAAAATCAGCCTGGCAACAGACCTCAGCAGGCATAAATATATTGGTGAGGGGTCCTTGGTGCTCTCTGAGCTTGCTTGTTTTCTTGCAGATGTTTCATTACCCTAACTAGGTAACATCACCAAGGTCCTCTCATTTCAACCCTGAGCTACAAATATTCTCCTTCATTGGAAATATTGGTGATTACTGGAGTTCATAGATAATTACTTATTTTAAAAAATACATAATCGGCCTTGTTCATGTTTCAGCATATCATGCATAGAGGAAACTAGAAAGCTTGCCACCTACTGATGAGCTAGATCAGTGGTTCTCAACCTTTTTAATGCCGCGACCCCAACCGGTCGTAAGTCGAGGACTAAACCGGCCGTAAGTCGAGGACTAAACCGGTCGTAAGTCGAGGACTACCCAACCGGTCGTAAGTCGAGGACTTTCCCTGCCCGGGAGCACCACGCATGCGTGGTTCCGCCCCCTGCGCCGGCCGAGGCGTAGCTGGCAAGCGGCAGAGACGGAGCAGGCCGACCACCAGCTGGCCCAGCTCAAGGGAGGTAAGGCACCCACTGGAAAAGGGGGAAAAAAATGGCGGACAAAAAAAATGGCGGACAAAAAAATGGCGGACAGCCTTGCTTGGCGACCCCCATGAAATGGTCGATCGACCCCAAATGGGGTCCCGACCCACAGGTTGAGAACCACTGAGCTAGATGCTTAAAACAAATGACTGCCTATCCAAGCTTTGCATCAGGTCAGACTTCAACATACTTCTGGTACTGATTCATAAAATAAATTGGTAGGAACCGCTTCCAGGAAGTGAGACAAATTATAATGGGGAAAATGTATGCTAAACAGTTACAGAATTAATACTGCTGAACAATGGCCTAGGGCAAGGGTGTCAAACTGCCGGCCCACGGGCTGGATGCATCATAGTGAAACCGCGGCCACCCCATTGCCGGCAATGGCAAAAAAAGTCACAATACGTCACGACACATCACGTGACGTTGCGAGTTTGACATCCCTGGCCTAGGTGAATAGTGCCTATTTCCATTTATCTTTTGAGCAAAGTGTTCTGAAGAAATACAAGACTTTTTCCTTGACCCCATTTAGAAGACATGTAGTTGCTGAGTACACCATGTTGTTTCTGGTTTGGGGAGGTTTTTTTAAATGTAAAAGGTATTATTTTTGCCAAGAAAGAGGGTTGCCAATTGTTGTAGTACTTGTATTTTTCTAGCGGTGACCTTGGCTGATCTCAAAATTTGAGTAGAGTCAGATGCATTTAATACTCGAATGGGAGACTATCAAATAGGCTATAAGGATAATTAATAGGCTAGATTGGAAGCCAAAACTCAGAAGAAAGAGTTGACAATTTATTTACTTTTTATTTAAATTGTGTATTTATTTATCTGAGCATGCATGGAGTTAATCCAGTAGCTCAACACTGCTGAGATATAGGTGGTTTGCAAATGTATTGTTATCCAGGACATACAGAGACATAAAATCACCAAGCATTAAACTTGACCGAAGAATACTTATGTATTAACAGAGTTGTGCATGCGTATATGTATACAGTGTGTGCATATGTATATAACTGTATGCACATATATTCCGTCCTCACAAATAGACTACGGAAGATCATTCCTAGTGTCAGCTGAATGTACTCAATTTTTTGATTTCTTATATTCCTTTTTTCTTCCTGTCTTTGAATTAATGCCTTTTGTCTTTGGCCTGATTACTTTGAAAATGAAATATGTTTAGATTGAGTTATTTCGGTTCCTTTTTGAAAAACAAGTTGATGTGTTTTGGGATTTCTTTATATTTCCTTATGTCTGATCATAAAAGCTTCTTTGCATGCCAACAATTTTGTCCCCAAATTGTAAAGAAAAAGTATTGCATCATCGCCTTTTATAAATCATATGGTAATTTGGCAAGATTAGAATCATATTCAGTTTTGGAAACTGGAAGTAAACTCTGGTTTTCAGCAAATCAGTTGTAAAATGCATCATGGAAGTCTGCCAACGTTTGGCCCAGTTGCCAAGCACCCAAAGTGAAGTCATATGACTACAGGTGGGGGAACAACCGTCAGAATTTCAAATCTAGGTTGTAAGTACCCCCCAGGTAGAGCTTTAGAACTTCAAACCAGTCTGAAGTCGAGGACTACCTATAATACATCAAAGAGGGTTACTGTATGCTTTGATAAAATGAAATTTCAATGTGATCACACTGCACCTATCATAATTTTTATATACTGCAAGTGAAATAATAGATGCAAATTGTAGTCCAATGAAGCAGGTATTCTGCTCTAGGTCAGGGGTGTCAAACTACCGGCCCGCGGGCCAGATGCGTCACCCCGAAGCCGCGCCCACCCCATTGCCGGCAATGACAAAACAGTCCCGATACATGACATCGCAGTTTGACATGTCTGCTCTAGGTTGTAGAAATCTGCTATTAGAATTCATATTATAGGGCAGTGTAAAAGTACCATATATATCCTTCCCTTCTGCCTGGAAGTTTGTCATAGTGAGCGCCTTATATTTAATATAACAATGTGAAATACTTAATTATAGAAAACAATGTTACAGATTTTAAAATACTAGATAGGGTACCATATTTTCGCCTGTAAGATTTAATTCCACTATGCATGGATTAGATTCTTTTTTTCAAGCAGTATTTTGGGTCCATTTCATTTCAGCATCCATGGGTTCTAAAAAAGTAACTTTCAACAAGACATGACTAAAATATCAAGCATTTTTTTAAAAAAAGTAATGCGATACAATTATGTGAATTGCAATAGTTTAATCTTTATTTCATTTTCTTCCTTGTAGTGGGAGTGAATTTATTTTACTTCTGTTTAATCATCTATTTATATGGTGATCTGGCAATCTATGCAGCTGCTGTCCCAGTTTCTCTCATGCAAGTGACTTGGTAGGTATGCATTTGGTAACAATATTGTGAATGTGATCATTTCTAAAAAAATTAAAGGATTATGTAGTTATTTCATGTTGATGGTTTTGACTTTGTATTGATGTCCTTGTTTCAATTTCTATCCCAGTTTTCAAGTCAATTTCAGACTGTACAAAACTTTAAAGAGTGAGAATTTCCTTAAAAACCATTGTTAGAAATAATCATGAATCCAGTTTACAAAGATAATCTGCAGGAAAGGAAAAGGACTCTGTTTCAATGGCAATGGGTATACCATTGGGAGACTTGAAGGTTGGGGACAGATCATCTTGGAGAGGATCTATCCACATGGTTGCTAAGAATTGACAGCTGAGTTGATAAAACATAAATCAAATTGATGGTGCATTTTAGTGTCTGGATATATTTGTTTACAGATCAGATTATTATTATTATTATTATTAATTTGATTTATATACCGCCCTTCTCCCGAAGGACTCAGGGCGGTGCACAGCATATTAAAAACAAATAACAATACAATACATAAATAAATACCAAAAATAAAAAAAAAACCCCTCTAAGACCAAATTAAAAGCCAAATATTGGTAGCTGTGTCGTAATTAAAATTGTATTAAAAATCG